CAGCATGTCCTGCCGTGGGGACGGCTGGCTCCCTGCGCCAGCGAGGATTCGATGGCGGCCAAGAGGGGGGCGTCCAAGAGGGGGGAGCGCAAATCATGGCCACCGGTACGTGCGCGGCCCGAGGGGGGACCGGGGACGTATTGAAATATGAAGGGGCTACATGAAATCTGGGCGGCCAGATATCATGGCCCCTGCTATGATATCCCCCCCCAGTCCTCACTCCCCTCTTTGCCGCCGCCGAAGGATACGGGCGCAACAAGGTCGTGGCCACGCAGGAGCGGGGCAGGCGACCACGAGCAGCTGCGCCGCTGTGGCTTGCGGTAGGTCAGTGAGTGAGGGTCACCCAAAGCAGCCGCTTTCGATTGCGATGCTCGCATCTGCACTTTGCCGCGCTGGGTGTGCGCCGCCTGCACTTGCGGTGGGTCACACAGCCATGTCGACGGCACTGGTACGCGTTGAATTAGCCTCAATGCGGAAAGTTTGTTTGTTGGATAGAACCCCCGATGATGAGAACTGCCGGCTTCCCAACTGATGGGAAGGGGACTCGACCATGATAAAACAGGCCAGGAAGAAGAAACACAATGTGTGAGACAGGCCGTAGACTGAGTGGGCAACGTGGCTGCAATAACGGCCTGAGAGGAGGGACGACGACGAGGGAGGAGGAGGAGGAATAGAGAGAGCGATAGAGAGAGAGAGAGAGCGCGAATGCTGCAACCCGCTGTCTCGGGACCAGCAGTACAACATGAAACAAAAGACACTCGGAAGTGCTGGGGGCATCCGTTGGAACCGACGTACTCTACTCGAGCTCCTGAGACTCACAGCGTGTAATCTGTGTTCATAAAACCCCCAGAGGCCAAAGCGGCTAGCGAAATTGAAGAGATGGGGAAGTTATTGAAAGGGGGAGGCGAGAACAACAGGTGGACACAAAAACAACGATTGAGCGCGGATCATGTGATCATGTGCGGCATCGTGCAGTCACCCCACATGCTGCAAAAGGGTCGCATCACCGCCGCTGTAGAAATGCTCGAGATACGGACCCGCCACTGATCGTTTCTAGAAACCAGCAACCTCGCACGCGTACGTAAGCCAGGTGCGCGAAGCTGATCTGGGCAAATCGGCTCGGACTGCAGGTAGCAACACAACCACGTCTCCGACCGAACAAGGACCGAACGTCCCGGCACTCCTATAGGCCTACCACGAACTGTTCTTAGAACCCAAACATTTTCTAATAACCAACACCATGTTCTTAGAACATGAACCCGATGTGTCAAAACAAGGCCGTCTCAGCCAGAACTGTTCTAAGAACATTTCGAGCAGACCACGAAATATTGTCATAACATTCTTTGGTGGACCGTCAGGCAAGCCGTGGCAACGTTCGTCATTGAACAGTGATGTGTGCTGCGAAGGCTAGCAATCGCCCACGAGGCCCGGCCGGCCAACCGGCACGAATCGACGTCCCCGGTTGCCCGTTGGGCAATGGCAGAGTGCCGGCTCGTTGGCGCCATATAGAGTTGTACCCGTCGGTCGGATCACGTGGGTAACAAACCACATGAAGTCAGAAGGCGTTGGGAGTACATCGGGCTTCCGCCCGCCCTATGAAAAGGAAGGACGAGGGACAACCGCAACGACTCTTGAAGTAGGAAAGCGGCTGAAGCAGATTCGGATCTGGGGATTCAAAAACACCTACTTTTAACGACCGCCGTGTAGTGGCGCACGTGGTAACGGACTTCCTCAGGAGGGGGAGGGAGGAGAAGGGGCAAGCCAGGTACGCTCGCGTCGTATCTGACGTCCTGCCCCTCCCACCCCCCTGTCGTTGCGCAGAGCCCCTCTCTATTCGTTCAGCTGGGTGTCGACGGAGTCGTGGATCTCGCAAGGGCAGGCGCCGCGCAGCGCAGCACGACACGGCATGGCGTAGAAGAGCGGGGCAGAGCTGCGGGCGACTCACGCCACCCCAAAACCTACCGCATCGCTTCTCCTCCTCCTCCTCCTCCTCCTCCTCCTCCTCCTCCTCCTCCCCCTCCTCCTCCTCCTCCTCCTCCTCCTCCTCCTCCTCCTCCTCCTCCTCCTCTCCTCCTCCTCCTCCTCCTCCTCCTCCTCCTCCTCCTCCTCTCCTCCTCCCCCTCCTCCTCCTCCTCCTCCTCTCCTCCTCCTCCTCCTCCTCCTCCTCCTCCTCCTCCTCCTCCTCCTCCTCCTCCTCCTCCTCCTCCTCCTCCTCCTCCTCCTTCCTCCTCCTCCTCCTCCTCCTCCTCCCTCCTCCTCCTCCCTCCTCCTCCTCCTCCTCCTCCTCCTCCTCCTCCTCCTCCTCCTCCTCCTCCTCCTCCTCCTCCTCCTCCTCCTCCTCCTCCGGCCCGACGCCCACCGTTGGCCGCTTGTGCCCCAGGAGGAGGCCCTGGGAAATCGCAGGAGAAGGAGCCGCCGAGCGGCGGGCAGCACCACGCTCACACAACCAACAGCTATTCTCATCAACGCCTGGGGTTCTTCCATCAAAGAGGCCGCGGTCGAGACTCCCAGACATACTGCTCACTCGCCCGCACGCAGCGGCGCCGTTTCGTTTCCCAGCGGAGGCACGAAATCAGTACAACGCGAGACGGGCTTGAAACAAGAAAGCTGTTTTACGAAACGACGTCTGAAACCAGAGATGATGCGATTTGTGGCATTCGCTGTGGGAGCGCGTCGACTACATCCACAGGCGTTCGACCAAAAAAAACATGTAAGCAACGACTGCGTGGGTGGAAGGTGGGTTGCTCTCTTGAAGAGGGTATGGCGTAGCATGGCGTTGCATCCCGTGGGAACCATGGGGGTAGACATGAGCCAGTGCTGATCCACTAGTGCTCCCACCGCTGCAGCAAGAGCGCCATTCCATTGTACGGAGGCTCCACGGAAACTGAAAAATGAAGCCAGCGTGAAAGCGGGAGTTCCGTCTCGAAGTGCCAACACGCAGGGACCAGGGGATGCGCAACCCACATGCTGATGCAAGAGAACGGCCTGCGCGGCGTCGAGTGCCAGCCCTTAGGACGGAGGTTCCAGGGCAAATCTGGAATGCTCCACGCTGGAACCCGAGCACCATTGTCAAGGACCGGCATTTAAGACATGAAACCCTTCATGTAGACGGAGTCCTACCTCGAAGGACCGCAAACGCGGAAATGACGCAAACGGTGCAGCGGGAACACCTTTGGAAAGGATAACTGCGCAGAAAGGAAGCCATCGCCGCAGCAGAAGCACCACGTTCAATTACCGAAAACGCGGCATGAGGCCCAGGAGCACTGTTGAGAAGGGCCGGGCACGCGGAACCGATGAAAACGCTGCAGCGGGGAGCACCGTTCCGAATAAACAAAAAAACACTAGCATCGAACCACTGCCGTTGCGGGAGCACCGTGCGGAAGGACGAAGAGCAACCGGTGAGGAAAAAACATCAGAACTTCAAACACTGGACTCCGGTGTACACCGCAATTCGAAGAGGGTATCGGCTGCAGAATTCATTCACCACGAAATCATAGCTTCCGTCGAAAATACGTAGCGTGCCATTCTGCCCAGATGCGTTCTACGCACTTTTCGTAACATCGAAGGCAAGCTTGAGTTTGGGGTAAATCATGGTGTGTCAATTTTGCATTCGATCCCCTACTCGAAAACTGTACGGAGAGGGCGGGACACTCTCAACACGTCTTCGGGGCAGAGGGGAGAGTAGCATTCATATTGTGTAGTTGTGGAGGGTGGGGAGGGGGGGGACGGGGAGGAGGGGGATGAGGGGCGGGAGGGGGAGGCCTGATCCTCCTCCTAATTACTTGTTGCCCTCGCGCGGAAACTTGTCCGCTGGACCCGTCGTGTATGCCCTCTTGCTCTTCGTCTTCTTCTTCTTCTTCCTCCTCCTCCTCCTCCTCCTCTTTCTCCTCTCGTCCCCTGTTGCTGCTGCTGCTGCTGCTCCTCCTCCTCCTCGCTCTTTCGACAACCCGCATCCTCTGCTTCTCCTCCTCCTTCCCTTCCGCTCCTCCTCCTCCTCCTCGTTCTCTGCCACTTGTCTTCCTCTTCCTCCTGCTCCTTCTCCGCCTCCTCCTCCTCCTCCACCTCGTCCCCGTCCTTCCGGCCACTCGCATCCCCTTCCTGCTGTCCATTCCTGGAGGCCGCCCTGATGGGGCCAGAATGGATGGTGGGTCGGAGGACGGCATCGCATCACCAGCATCGGCGACGCGGCGCAATGCTCCGATGCTGAGAGCCGACGTTAGGCAAAACTCGAAACGTCGCAAAAATCACGATCATAGCCCCAAACCCCATCTTCCAGCGGCATTTCTCGAGCCAGGGTCCAAACCTTGGGTTAGGTCGGTCATGTCCTCCTACAGGCGGACCTTGGACGAAACATTACAAATAGTCCAGACGCGCTCAAAGATCGTCAAACAGAATCAAACCTCGTCCCCAGAGTGTTCCTTAAACTGTTCCTGAATCTCCCCCTCCTGTAGGGGGACAGGCCCGACTGAAACCTTGGGGAACATACTCCAGATTTCGTAATAAAAGGGAGGGGGTCTGGACCCTCCAAGACAAGCCACTTCAGACCTCCCCCGTGGGAGAACCCTCCAAAACATCGTCCCAAGACCCCCCAGGCCCTCCAAGATAGCCTGGAAGAGACCCCCCCCGAAATGAGACCCCCCCCCCTTTATTACGAAATCCGGAGTAGTGGTAGCTCAGCAATCCCTATACTAGTCCACTGTGGATCCCCGCCCGCCACTGTTGTGTGAGATAGCAACGGCATGCCTGCGCACCGCCTGCCGCCCCAAGTCTTCCCAGCGCTCGCAGACCCTTCTGGCCCCTCCTCCTCCTCCTCCTCGTCCTCCTCCTCCTCCCCCTCCTCCTCCTCCTCCTCCTCCTCGTCCTCCTCCTCCTCCTTTATTACGAAATCGGGAGTACCCGGCCTGGAAAACGAGCGGCGCCCGGATCTCAGGGCGAGGGGGCCCCGTCCGCTCGGGCCCCCCACGCGGGCGGCCTCACCCTCCCCTGCTCGGGCCGGAGGCCTCGGCCACGTGATCGCATATCGACGGCCTCGTCTCCAGCGTCAGCCGCAGCAGCTCGACGAGCTCGTCGTCCGGGAGCAGCATCGCGGACCGCAGCAGGCCAGCCTCCTCCGAGGAGAGGGGGAGAGCGCCCCGGCCCCCTCGCGGCGGACGTTTTTTTGGGGCGTTTCCGGCCTCCAGGGACCCTCGCCGGGTTCGGGACCGTCAACACAACGATGCAGAACGAAAAGCTGGCCCCGAGGAAAAGGGCCGGGACTTCCGGAGGGCCCGCAGGTCAAAATCAGCCTGGCGAAAGACCCAGCCAGATTCAGCTGCGAGTATAGCGAGGCAGGGTGCCGCCTTCGAACTCTGTCACTGGGACCTCCGGTGGAGCTTCCCATGGGGCCACGATGCGTGTGAGGGGTGTGCCTAAATGGGGCGGACACCGCATGCGGACCCTGCCACCGGGGCCTCGGGTGGAGCTCCCTAGGGGGCCACCACCCGTGTGAGGGGTGTGCCGACATGACCATGCGAATGGCAGGGGCAAGGATGGGAGGGGGAGGGGCGGGAGCGAGGACCCAACACCACAGGATGGATGGGGAAACACGAAGACGTCGCATGCCTGCGGAAGAGAGCGCCGAGACGCCACGGGGCACCGTCTTCCGAGCCGGACCGGGGATCTGCGGGCAATACAGACTCCTGCAGGATCCTGCGTCCAAACTCGGGCCAAGGCGAATGATCCTGCAAGCTCCTGCAAGATCCTGCACCCAAGCCCAGGTCAATGCGACCCTGGCGCCGCAGGATCCTGCAAGACCCGGCGCTCTGGCTGACCCCCTTTGCACTGACCCCCGTCTCTTCAGCTCCGACCAGATCGGTCTGTGATGGTCCCCGGGGCTCGAAGCCGTGCGAGAACGCCGTGTGTGTGTTTGTGTGTGTGTGTGCGAGAAAACTGCAGCGCCGGGGCCTCAGGGTGTATCTTTGGGGTGCTTCGCTAACCCGATACGCAACACGCAACGCGTATCGGGTTGACACGGAGCTCAACACGCAGACTGGACACGTAGGCGCAGGCAGGGAGTAGGTTGCACCTTCGTTTCTCCGCAGCCGTTCGGGTCAGGCTTCAAGCCCGGCAGGGGCAACGGTTCCAACTGAACCTGGCCTACCGCTTGAGAAAACATCCATATCAGAGAATTGCGTTTCAACACGGGTGTGTCAGGGCAACTGAAAATGGGTTGGGGATCCCGGAACCGTATGGTGACAGACCGTGCGGCGACCTCGGAACTACAAGAGACCTCACCGCACGGTCCGCTCCAACAGTAATGTTTATGCAGTTTTGGGTCCTCAGCCATACGCAAGAAGACACAACGACCTGACGCCTCAACTTACGCGACCCTAGCGTGACACACCGAGTGTAGAAGAAAACTCTTACGCGCAACCTTACGCGGGAAACTTGCGCGTGAATAACCGCGCAATCGACTCCGTTTTCTCCCGTCGCTCATATCCCCCTCGGGACCTTGGACCCCAATAGGCTGGCGCTGTGAAGCCCAGCGGTGTTTTTATGGTCCTCCGAACGTGTAATAGCGTCAAACGGTGTTTGTCCACCGACGCCCTTCAATACGACGCATGCGGCGTGATGAGGACGGGCAGCAGCAGGCGTGCTATCGGTGGAGCAGAACGGGGTAAACACACAAACGCACACGCACAGAGACACTTTTGGCAGTAGCGGCCTCGCGAGCAGCGACGAAACGAGGCGGAGAAACACACTCACTCACGAACGCGCGCACACATACGCACATACACACACGCACGCGCACACTCACACACACACACGCACACGCACGCGCACACACACAAAAACACACACATGCAAGCACACACACACTCACACGCAGCAACACACACACACGAACAGACACACAAACAAACAGAGAAACAGACACACACACACAAACAAACACACGAAGACACAAATGCACAAGCAGACGCACACACGCACACACGCACACAATCACACAACCACACACTCAAACACACTCACACACGCACACACACACACGCACACACATGTACACACACACGAACACACACACACACACGCACACACACACGCACACACACACGCACACGCACACACACACACGCACACACACGCACACACGCACACACACAGACGCACACAAGCATACACACGCACACACACACGCGCACACACACGCACACACGAACGCCCACACACGGACACATACGCACACGCACACACGCACACACACACACCACACACCCACACACCCACACACACACACACACGCACACACACGCACACACAAACACACACACACGCACAAAGACACACACACACACACGCAAAACCACGCACACGCATGCACACTCACGCACACGCACGCACACGCACGCACACGCATGCACACACATGAACACGCACGCACGCCCACGCACGCACACGCACGACCACGCACGCACACGCACGCACACGCACGGACACGCATGCACGCACACGCACACGCAAGCACACGCACGAGCACGCAAACACCCGCACGCACCCACGCATCCACGCACCCACGCACCACACGCACGCACACGCACGACGACGCAGACGCACGCACACGCTCGCCCACATACGCACACGCACGCACACGCACGCATACGCACGCACACGCACGTACACGCACGCACGCGCACGCACGCGCACGCACGAGCACGCAAACACCCGCACGCACACGCACGCACACGCACGCCACGCACACGCACGCACACGCACGCACACGCACGCACAAGCACGCACACGCGCGCGCACGCTCGCACGCACGCACGCACACGCACGCACACGCACGCACGCGCACGCACGCGCACGCACGCGCACGCGCACGCACGCGCGCACGCGCACGCACGCGCACGCACGCGCACGCACGCACGCACGCACGCGCGCACGCACGCACGCACGCACGCGCGCACGCACACGCGCGCGCACGCGCACGCACACGCGCACGCGCACGCACACGCACACGCACACGCACACGGGCACGCGCACGCGCACGCGCACGCGCACGCACACGCACACGCACACGCACACGCACACGCACACGCACACGCACACGCACACCCATACGCACACGCACACGGGCCCGCGCCCGCGCCCGCGCCCGCCCCCGCGCCCGCGCACGCGCACGCGCACGCGCACACACACGCGCACCCACACCCACACCCACACCCGCATTCACCCACACCCACACACCCACAACCACATCCACACCCAGACCCACCCACCCACACACCCACCCACCCACCCACACTCACACATCCACACTCCGCACACCCACATACCCACACACCCACACACCCACACACCCCACGCACCCCACGCACCCCACGCACGCGAGCAGGCGCACGCACACGCACACGCACACGCACACGCACACGCACAAGCACACGCACACACAGACACACACACACACGCACGCACGCACACACACGCACACACACACACGCACACACGCACACACACACACACACCCCACCCCCACCCCACACACACGCACACACACCACACACGCACACACACACACCACAAACAAACACGCACGCACGCACGCTCGCTCGCTCGCACGCACGCGCGCACGCACGCACGCACAAACATACACACACCACACCACACACACACCCACACACGCCCACACACCCACACACCCGCACACCCACACACCCGCACACCCGCACACCCACACACCCACACACCCCCACACACTCACACACGCAAGCACGCACGCACGCACGC